GAGAGAAGCACAACTGTTCACAAGTAAAACAAACTGTCTTCTTCCCCTACGTGGCTGCCAAGTCCTAACCTATGTTTTAAACTTGTTTTAAGACATAAATTTTGTTTGGTCACATGAAAATGCCTGAAAAAGTCAATGCTATAATTAGCTCAGGCTGAGTGTCATCTCCCAAAGCCACTACCAATGACATCATCTTTTAATTCTTTAATAAACCCTTCCCTTCCTTTTGTACCAAGACGGCTTCTTCCTCGCATGTCCCATACAAAGAAAATTTCCTTGGCTGGCTGCCATGAATTTTTCAACCCATTTCCATTTTAAGTAATTTTTCTGTCTCAGTCTCTTCTGGAACAAAGGCAGAAGGCAAAACTTGCTGGTTTATTTTTAAAAGAGAACTTCGCTTCAAACTGTTATGAGCTAGCAAGAGGCTTTGTGGAGTCACATGACCCCAGTTCACGACATCTGCTGATAAGAGCTCACAGCTGATTCCTGTGAAAACCTCTACCTCAGAGCAGTTTCCCATGGGCCACAGGAAGCAGCTTCCAACTGCACCATGTTTGTCAAGGCTTATCCCACAGCAGGCACCCACTTCTACCCACAGGGCCCCCAAGTCCTTTGGCTCTTACCAGTTATATAAAAACAATAGTGCTGCCTTTTCCTTTAGACAGCTGATAGTAATGAATTCAACAGGAAGTGGGGGGTGTGTGCACAAGGTGAGGTGTCTTGCTATGGCCTAGTTATTTACAGGAAGAACATTTTTCTTTCTAATGTTTAAATGTTTCCCCAGATGCAATAAACTAACAAAGTGGGTCATTTCTAATCTTTCTCAAAGCTGTATAACAAGCAAGTTGTTCAAGGCTGGAAGAGAGGGAAGGAGAAAAATAAAAAAAAGTATTAATGAAATACATATGAAGAAGCCCCAATGACTCATATTGCTTGGTATGCTAACTTAAAATATTTTTAAAGCTAGAAGAGAACAGAGTTAAAAAAAAAAGAAGATAACAGAGTTAATATTAAATTCATACCTCAAATTAACATATATATATAACCCAGGTGGTAGTGTCACATGCCTTTAATTCCAGCACTCAGGAGGCAGAGGCAGAGGCAAGTTTGAAACCAGCCTAGTCTACATAGTGAGTTGAGTTGCAGGACAGCCATGTCTACAGAGAGAAACCCTGTCTCAAAAAACAAAACAAAACAAAACAAAAAACTTAAGATATTCCTCTCCTTCCCACTCTTGGGAGTTCTGACTTCCTAATAAATCTATGTTCAATCTGCTTTAAAAAAAGTTTCATGTCATAGAACTTAGGTTAGTCAAAGAGTCAAATATTGTGGAGTCAAAGTAACCAAAGAGCTAAACCCCCTTAGATTAACCAAAAGGTTTCTTTTACCTTCGTGGTGACTCCTAGCTACAGTCCAACATGAAGGGGTGGGGCAGACAGACAGAGACACTAAGATAGAAAGATGTATGTGCATTTGAGGTCAGCCTGTGCTACATATTGAGTTCCGAGCCTGAGCTACCAGACTAGAAAATGTCACAAACTGGCTTTCTCTTAGCACTGGAAAATTGTCACTCTCTCCTTATTTGCCTTTACTCAAAAATCACTGCCAAAAAAATGGATTAGGATCAATGTCAATGTGCTGTAAATGCCACAACACTGTGACTCCTGTAGAGTCACAAATCTTGGTGTAAACATGGAACACACCCCCACTGCCAGCCGTCCTCAATATGCCTATACCTAAGAGCAGGCCCAGGCTGCACTGACCCCTCGGGTGTCAGTTTGCTATCCTATCTTCAAAAAATGACCTTTATGTGAGTTCGAGGCGGGGCTGGACAGATAGCCTCTGAAAAACACAGAGAAACCTTGTCTCGTAAAAACCAAAAAAAAAAAAAAAAAAAAAAAAAAAAGACCTTTAATCCCAGCACTTGGGAAGCAGAGGCAGTCAGATCTCTGTGAGTTCAAGGTCAGCCTGGTCTATTTACATAGTGAGTTCCAGACAGCCACATAATAAGATCCTATCTCATAAACACCAAAACATACCAACAAACAAAAACAGAAAGAAAAATGATTTATTCATCAGATGTATATGGGAAAATATCTAGCTCATAACACTATTCTTAATAAAACTTTTTTTTTTTTTTTGGTTTTATGAGACAGGGTTTCTCTGTATTGTTTTGGAGGCTGTCAGTCCAGCCTGGCCTCGAACTCACAGAGATCCGCCTGCCTCTGCCTCCCGAGTGCTGGGATTAAAGGCGTGCGCCACCACTGCCCGGCTATAAAACGTTTTTAGAAGTTGGTTTTATTTTTTTTTTTTAAGATTTACTTATGCACAGCTGCATGTAAAGAGGAGGGCATCAGATCCAGTTATAGATGGTTGTGAGCCACCATGTGGTTTCTGGGAATTGAACTCAGGTCCTCTGGAAGAGCAGCCAGTGCTCTTAACTGCCAAGCCATCTCTCCAGCCTCTAAAACTAACTTTTTAAAAAACGTTTTGTTGTTGTTGTTGTTCTTTTTAAAGTCAAGAGTATTGTGAGTTCAAGGCCAACCTGGTTACATAGAGAAACCTTATCTTTAAATTTCTTGGGCTTAACAAAAGTTTTCTACATTACACAGTGCTGTCAAGTAGGTTAAATATCTTGGATATTGATCCAAGACTATCTTGGACATGATACCTTCTGTGTGGCCACGCAAGCAACCAACTGTCATGATTCACTGCCACCTTACCAGGCTTTCTTCATACTTGACTAGGAGATTTAATTACTGTGCATACAAATGAAACAAACACGAACTCTGGAAAGAAACAGGTTACTAGGCAGACTGCTCAGCAGAACCTAGCAGACTGCATACCAGGCTGGGCCACAATAATGATGGTAAAGGGCAGCCACAACTAATAATAGTCAAACTGAAAAACAACCATGAAACAGAAAGGGAAAAAAGGCCACTGGTCAGGCAGGACTCCTTGTGCAGGAACGACAGCATTTCTGTTTTTTTGCAGACCCAGTGATGGCCCTTTCTCCGCCCCTGTCTCCTGGATTTGGCCCACCCCACTCCAGTCAACTATACCCTTAGATGTAGTTCCAGCACTCAGGAGACAGAGACAGGCAGATCTCTGTCAGTTCAAGGCCAGGCTGGTCTACCAGAACGAGTTCCAGGGCAGCTAGGGATACACAGAGAAAGAAACCCCCTCTCAAAAAAAGCACAAAACAAAACAAAAAAAAGAGAGAATCTTCCTTCAGATTCTTTAACGTATCTACACTCCCAGCTGGAACAGCAGTGAGGGGCTGGGCCTACGCCATAAGACTGACTGACTGTGCAGCCCTCTCCACCACCACATCCACACAGATCTGCCTAGAACCCCAGTTCCCATTTTTTCTTCCCCACAACACCCACAAGTTTCTGCGAGCAACCAGATCAGGGGCCCCGGTGGCATGGAAACGACAGGGAGAAAAAGAGTGGGTGAGGCGCCAATAAGAATGGATGGGTAGGAGCCTGGGTGTGGGGGCAGGGCTGGCACCAACTTGGCCTTGAGGTCCGGAAGGCATTCTTGAGATTTATCCTTCTGCCCTAATGGAAGTAGGAGCAAGAAGGGGCTTTCTGCCCCTCAAAGACACCCAACGGTGGCCACTCGTACCCACAACGAGCTTTTCTCCCCCACTTGAGGAGCCCCACGCTCAACACGGGGTGAGTGTCCTTTCCATCTGTCAGTCAAGGCACAGAATGCCCCAACACCAACGGCTCCGCTTAGCCCTAGCAGCGTCCACCCAAACCCGACAACTCCAGAGGGTCGCCCGAGAGGCCCTGGAGTCCTGACCCGTCCCCCGCGGCACGGGTCTCTCTCTCCAGGACCTCCCGGATCCTCGCCACCCGCGCGGACGGCGCACGCGAGCTTACCCGGAGCTCGCCCTCCGTGCGGTGCAGTCCCAGGCGCCGCAACCCCACCGCCAGGTCGTTGACACAGAGGCCGCCGTCGCGGTTGACGTCGAGTGTTTGGAAGAGGCTCCACAGGCGCAGCCGGTGGTCGGGGCCGCCACAGACGGTGCCACCGCACGGGTCCCCTACGGAAGCCGGCGACGAGGCGGACGACGAGGCGGCGGCGGCGGCGTCCGTCGGCGGGGAGGCCACGCAGCGGCACAACACACTGCTCACCATCGGGCGCGAGGCGGGGGGCGCCGGACGCGGGGCTGAGGGCGGCAGGCAGGCGACCGGAGCGAGGGAGGAAACACGCCGGCTTCCCTCAGACGGCGAGCGCGGGCTTCCAGAAGCCGGCAGGCTGGAGGGAGGGGCCGCTTCCGGGAGCCCCGCCCCGCCGCGCGCCCAGGCGCTGGCCGCGCCCCCTGGCACACTGCCCGCCAATCGCAGGCGGGGATGGCGACGCCCGGATCAATGAGGAGGCGGGGCCACCACGCTGGCTCTGAGTCGATTCAAACTGAGAGAGGCGGGGATTGGCTGAATCTGGGTAATAGGCGAGCAGAAGGCCCTGTGTCCAGTTCCCATTCAGAAACGCTATTTGGATTGCGGAATGAGGCTGGAAGGAGCGGCTGTGTACGGAGAGATCGTAGCTATCCGTGGAATTGAGATTTGTGTGAGGGCAACTGTAGGCTGAAGTTAGAAGGCACACTTAGCACCATTGAGTAAAATGAAAATTCGATGGACTGACGACTCAAGACAGAAAACACGAATCAAAACCAGGAGACCGGCTTCTAGCAGTCTCTTAAACTACCAATAAAATAGCTGAATTTAACAACGTAATAGTCGCGGCACCAACAACTGAACGACAGACTGCTTTCCCAATGGAAGTGAATAAAGAGCATGTGGGCGGACGCCCTGAAGCGACAGACACGCCTTTAGACCAATGGCCAAGCTAGTTCTAGCAAATAGGTGTGTCCTTGAGAGGAATGGCAGGCCTGAGAGCCAGTGATGGGCGGAACATTTGAGCCACGCTAACCTGGAGGGCGGGGCTTCCCAGGGATGTGTCCAGGGGCGGGAAGAAGGGAAGTGGGCGGATCTCCGCACACCCCAGCGGAAGAGGCAGATTCAGGAAGCCATTACGCAGCTGGCTGGCGGCGGTCGGGCCGGTCAGGGCTGGGCCCTACGCATTTTGCGTAGCGAGGGGGATTACTTAAGGCCTCGTGCTTGGCCTCGAGCAAGCCCTGCCTGTCCCCCTTTGGGGGGGAGGGGGTTGGTAAGTGGGCGACAAGCGAGGCTGAAAAAGAGGAGGGAAATTGGGGTTGTTAAGGACATTATAATTTCTTTAAAAAGAGGAAAGGGGAGGCCATGGCTGTCCCAGCCAAGAAGAGGAAGATGAACTTTTCAGAGCGGGAGGTAGAGATCATCGTGGAAGAACTAGAGCTGAAGAAGCACCTGCTGGTGAACCACTTCAATGCTGGCGTCCCTCTGGCCGCCAAGAGTGCAGCCTGGCATGGCATCCTGAGAAGGGTCAACGCTGTGGCCACCTGCCGTAGGGAGCTGCCCGAAGTCAAGAAGAAGTGGTCCGACCTCAAGACCGAGGTCCGCCGCAAGGTTGCCCAAGTCCGAGCAGCAGTAGAAGGTGGAGAGGCCCCAGGGACCGCAGAAGAGGACGGAGCTGGTGGACCTGGGACAGGCGGTGGCAGTGGGGGCAGTGGCACAGCCATAGCTCCTGTACTGCTGACCCCTATGCAACAGCGCATCTGCAACTTGCTGGGTGAGGCCACCATCATCAGCCTGCCCAGTACCGCCGAGATCCATCCCGTGGCCCTCGGACCCACGGCCACAGCAGCTGCAACCACGGTCACCCTGACACAGAGTGAGTGACCTCTCCTGATCAGTTCAGCTGCATAAATGGGAAGGGCCAGCAAGTACTGGGGCAGCCTGGGGCAAATTTGCTGCCAAGGGTCAAAAGTCAGATGGCGATCTTGAAAGACCATGAGGCTTTCCAAGAACTCCCCAGACAGAAGTGATCTTGTTCTTCTGGGGGACTTCCTCTGCATGTGGATAGCTGGATGCCCATGACTTCCACTTGCTGACCTATGTAGTCTTGAAGACAAGACTATATCCGTAACCCCATGGGAGGACTTAGGATCTGCTATATTAGTAGGCAGCCAGGATATACTTGTTGAATGACTGGCTAGGAATAATACTGCCCAAGGGAGACATCCATTCTGCACAAAGATATCCTGTGTTTTCAATACACAAACATTCACCAGGCACTTCTCAGAATCTTCATGGTTCCTATCTAGTCACCCATTCATCAAGAAATTTATGCTGGGTACCAAAAATACCAAAGTAGCTAACATTCCCTGGAGACTGGGGAGATAGCTCAGTGGTAGAGTACTTGCTTGGCACCACAGAAATTAAATATATAGGCCGGTTGTATACTACTAGAGCATATATATACATGAATAGCTTTACTATGAGATGGGAAAACCCAAGCACTCACAAGAGGAAAGGGATTTCCTCGTGTGAGGGAAACACATGGTTGATGGCTCTCAAAGGTAAGGGAAATAGGAGGTGGAGGTGCACACCTGTAACCCTACCATTCAAGAGATGGATCCTAAGGCTCAATAGTCAGCCAGCCTAGCTTGTTTGGAGAGCCCTAGCCCAGTGACGGGACTCTGTCTCAAGAGAGAAAAAGAAAAGATGTTGGCAGCACCTGAGAAATGACACCTGAGGTTGTCTTCTGATCCCCTCCATGTGTGCACAAACACACGTGTGCCTACGGATAAATGAACATATAGACACGGTCTTTGAAAAGACAAACAAGATTGACATCTCCCATGTGCATGAAGCTCCAAACACTAATGTCCCTTCGGAGGTTCCTCGATAAGTGATAAGAGAGCTAACTTTGGTTAGGTTTTGTGTTTGAGATAAGGATGTGTGCCCACAGCTGTGAACTCTGCTCGGTCACGATAGGCTTTGAACTGTATCTACCAGACTCTCAATGGTGTGTGGGAGTGTGCTCTCCCCTGCTTATTTCTCCAATCCATATGAGGTGGGAAGAGCAGGAAAATCACAGGTCCAAGTTGGGTACTGTTCTGGGACAGCATCTTCAAGGATAATTTAGGGGTTTTTTTGTTTGGTTGATTGGTTGGGTTTTGTTTTGTTTTGTTTTGTTTTATTGTTGTTGTTTTGGTTTTTGAGTCAGGGTTTCTCTGTGTAGCTGACTGTCCTGGAACTCACACAGTAGACCAGGCTGGCCTTGAACTAAGAGGTTCACCTGCCTCTGCTTCTACCTTCTGAGTGCTGGGATTAAACATGTGCACCACAACCAGGCTGGATGTTTAGATTAAAGACCAAAGTGAGACAGAGAGGCACTTTCTGGACATGTAAATTGCTGTGACTCTTCCTTTTTTGATTGGCACACAGAAGGGATAGACTTAGTTCAAAGCCACTCAGAGAAGTGGTTGTATTGCATCATCTCTGAAATTGATGGCACGATTTCTAACTCTTTTTTTTTTTTTCCGAGACAGGGTTTCTCTGCATTGTTTTGGAGCCTGTCCTGGAATTCTCTGTGTAGACCAGGCTGGACTCGAACTCACAGAGATCTGCTTGCCTCTGCCTCCCAAATGCTGGGATTAAAGGTGTGCGCCACCAATGCCCGGCGGTTTCTAACTCTTGTCATTTAGAGGATTCCTTGAGCTAATGAATACAGCAGAGTGGTACATGAGTATCCTAAGGTTTTGCTGGCATTATTGTTGGCATCTCTGTATTTGTCAGATCTGGGAGCAGCTTCTCTTTGGCTCCAATAGAGTAAAATCCTGAAACCTGGTTGGAGAAGTATCTGGGTGGTACGGCACATGCTTAGCATATGCAAGGTCCTGGGTTCCATCCCAGCCTTGAGGAACAAAGAGAGCTGAACCTCCCAGATACTGTGTTTTTGCGTCGATACACCCGGGGGAGGCCTGAATCCCCCTCTGCCTCCCTGTGTTGCAGAGCCAATGCCATTCCTTCCAAAAGATGATCTGCTTCTGCTTTTACTCTTTCTTCTCGACAGTCCCCACCGAGACCACCTATCACACACTGGAGGAGGGGGTGGTGGAGTACTGCACAGCGGAGGCTCCTCAACCCCTGCCGCCTGAGGCCCCGGTGGAGATGCTGGCCCAGCACACAGATGCGTCGGTCAAGCCGCAGGCGCTGAAGAGCCGCATTGCCCTCAATTCCGCCAAGCTGATCCAGGAGCAGCGGGTCACCAACCTACACATAAAGGAGATCGCCCAGCACCTGGAACAGCAGAACGACCTGCTACAGATGATCCGGCGTTCCCAGGAGGTGCAGGCCTGTGCCCAGGAGCGGCAGGCCCAGGCCATGGAGGGCACCCAGGCAGCCCTGAGTGTCCTCATCCAGGTCCTCCGGCCCATGATTAAAGATTTCCGGCGCTACCTGCAGAGTAACACCCCCACCCCGGCCCAGGCCCCAGTCCCTGACCCTGGACAGGTGGCCCAGAATGGGCAGCCAGACAACATCATCCAATGAGGACAGGGGTCAAGACCAGTTCTCTGCCATAATTGAAGGAAACTTCTGTGGACTTGTAAGTGGTTTCTGTGAGTGGCTTTAAGTGGACCATGTGGATAGCTTCCTCTTGGATAGATATTTGGGGGCTTGTTAGTCTGAGAGAAATGAAGGAGGCTGGGAAAAGGAGATTTCTAGTCCCCTAGAACCCAGTCTCTTAATTCAACCTCTGGAGCTGCCTTGTTGAAATCTGGAAGATTACCTGGGTGTGTGTGTGCTGATGATAGGACATCACCCAGACTCAGTCCAGGTCGACTTTAAAGACAGACTGGTTCTCATGGGGCTATGTCACAGCACAGGGTCTTCAATGGGCTGCCCCACCTCAGGTGCGACATCTTTTTCTGTGCCATCCCGCCAGTGGCGCTGGCAGAAATGCAATAACACCCACCTAAGAATGTCTCCCAGCCCCACTGGGAAACCCAGCCCTTTCTTCCTCTCATTGTGCTCCATGCTCAGGGGACTCTCCTTACAGCTGTGTACCACAACCACCTCGACACAGCCCAGCTCTTGGAAACGCCCTGAGCCGGACGCAGCCGGCGGGGCTCAGGAATGCTGTGTGTGGAGGGAATGGGTTGGCCTCGCTCTAGTCTTCCGAGACACCTCAAGGGAGGGGTTATGCCGTTGCCCCACCCCCAGACTTTGACACAGGTGGGCTTAGGTGCTGTCGGTATTAGAAGGCGGACCCCTGTGGAGATTTGTTTCCTGCTGCAGTGCACTTGAGGTGAACCTCTAATTTTTATTTTATTTTATTAGGTTTTTTTTTTCTTAGAAAACTCACTTCTAGCCAGTTGTATTTATTCTATAGCTGAACCCTTTCTGGGAGGGCTCTAGCTCTGTGGCCACGCTCTTTCCTCTCTGCTGGACCACATATCTGAAGGGCAGTGCACACTAGAGCCCTGCTCAGCATCCCCTGCCCTGCTCTGTTACTCAGTACCTGGTGCGCTGTAGATGCCCCTCCTCCAGTATGGCTAAGTGAATCCCACGCAAGGACTCTCCTTGAGTGAGACAGGGATTGGGGCCTGTTTGATTCTGTGCTCCAGCAGGGCGTAAGGTCAGAGGGCTGAAGGACTTGTCTGTCTGAGACATTTACAAAAACCTTAGCCAGGCAGGATTTGTCTGAATCTCTTTCAGACTTGCTGTTGAGTGCTAGGGTCTCAGTCTCCCCACGGCACCACCCCATTGGCCATTCTGCTGCCATAACTGGGCCAATCATGACCACTGGCTACAACGTAGTTCCAGGTATTAGTCAAGCTGTCCTTCCCTGCATGCACACACTGAGATGCTTAGCACCATTCTTATGGTCCCAGGAAGTGAACCCCTGGAGACAGTTAGGAGGTGGCTACCCGCTGTCCCCTTCTCCAAGGAGGCCTGTATAATGCCAGCTGCTGAGAGGGGAGTGAAGTGGACCTCCTCACCCTGTGGAGCCTGTTGGCCCCAGCAGGGTTGCTGCAGGAGGCTCCTAAAGATTTGGACCCAGTTGGGTTCTCCTCTGAAGTTAGAAATCTGAGCCAGCGTTGTATCTGTTCCATTTGTGTGTGAAGAGGAAGCCTACATTACTTAAGCCAACTTTTTCTTTCCGGGTCACAACTTTAAATTAAAGAAATATCACTTTTCCACACACGCTTCCCTGTGTCTTTATTGATCACACGTAGAAATAAACTATGGTTTCCAGGCTAAATCTGGTCCATCACCTACTTTTGTTTGTTTTGTTTTGTTTTTGTGTTTTTGATACAGGGTGTCACTATGTCGCCCTGGCGGGCCTTGTTGTAGCTAAAGTTATGTTTTAACTTTAAATTACTGTACTTAAGAGATCTATAAAACAAAAATGTCTCTCACCAGAATGCCCCACTTGCCTAAGAAGAGATAACTTCCTGGAATGCTGGGGGCTGTTGTTCATGTAAGATAACAGGCCGAGTGTTTTTGCTTCTGTAAACAAGTTTGGTTGCCCCAACAGCACAGGATGTGTTTGATCACACATAGGCAGGAAGTACATCGGGATATATGCTTGCCCCCGATTGGACTAGGTGGGAAGTATGTGTAGCCTTGTGTGTTTTGCCTTTCCAAGCCCCTGTCTAATGTAATTTGATGCCATGCTCTGGGAATCCCAGGTGTGGACCTGGCCAGTGCCCATCATCTTGACCAGTATTCAATAAAGCTTTCTTCAAATTTGACTAAAAAGTTGTAGTGGTCTTATTCTTTTTTTTTTTTTTTTTTTTTTTTTGGTTTTTCGAGACAGGGTTTCTCTGTATTGTTTTGGAGGCTGTCAGTCCAGCCTGGCCTCGAACTCACAAAGATCCGCCTGCCTCTGCCTCCCGAGTGCTGGGATTAAAGGCGTGTGCCACCACCGCCTGGCAGTGGTCTTATTCTTAACTGGTGGGATTAGTAATTTCTGGAGACTCCAGCGAGATCCAACCACCCACCAGAATCTGAAGCTGGACCTTCACTCTGGGACACTGCAAGGCCCTGAGGTGACCTTTCATTTTGTGAACTGCCATGCTGAGAGAGGCAGCAAGCATCTACAGAGACCTCCCCTGGTAAGTCACAGTCGTTTTCTGAGACATTTGGTTCTGCTGGGATCCTGGTCTTAGGATCGATAGAACCCAACTCTTCCCCCATCCAAGGCAAAAAAGTGAGACGTTGCGGGGCCCACCTGAGGTTCTTGGCCTGGCTCTGTGTCTCATTTGTCTTGTCTTTGTAGAAGTTTTGCTGCAAACATGGGAGCTGAGATGAGAATGGACCAGGCTCAGATGGAGGTATGGAAGATGGTGGCCACCACGTGCTGGTTTCTGAATGGTTCCCTTTGAATGTGATCTGCCTGTGCTCCGGATTTATTGGTTTTGTTTTTGCTGTTTCTGCTGCTGCCAGCCACCACAGCTAAAATCACTTGCCATGACTGCTTGGATGGCCAAGGCTCACAATTTATCTCTCAGCTTTCTGGTCACTGAATTCAATTTAGCAATAATTCTAAAGTGCTTTTGGGTGTGGATAATATCAAAGTTGTTTTATGCTGTTCTACTTTATTGAAAAGCTGGCTCTGGGGTTGCGTTGTGGCTTTCCCTTCTCTAGACCCAAAACATGCTTATTTAAAAGTTTCCTGTCTGTCCTATGTCAGATGGTCCACCCAACTCTGTGACAGGGAAAAGAGAGGAAAAACAAAACAACTAAAATAGGTAGGTAGGTAGGTAGGTAGATAGATAGATAGATAGATAATAAAAAATTAGATTATTGGTTTTACAGAGAAACCCTGTCTTGGGGGAAAATAAAAACCTGGTACACACCATTAATCCCAGCGCTTGGGAGGCAGAGGCAGGTGGATCTCTGACTTGGAAGCCAGCCTGGTCTACAGAGTGAGTTCCAGAACAGCCAGGGCTACACAGAGAAACCCTGTCTCAAAAAAAAAAAAAAAGTCACCCAGGTGGTATTGGTTTTAAAGGCATGAAGGGGTCACAAACAGCAGCTGAGACGTGGCACTGTGTGGCAAGGCTAGAGTTCCTAAAGAGAGCCCAGGAGAGGGACCCCAGCAGTTTTGGAGATACTGATGCCAAGTGATGGCTACTGGGAACAGCAGTCACAATGAAATGGAACCTGCTGGAACTGAGAAAATGGGCTGTGTGCTGCCAAGGGTGGGGCCAAAGAGGTGACCTAAGCCCCCTGGGGAAGCTCAGAGGACTGTGGGTGAACCCCAGATGTTGAGCAGTGAGCTATTTGCATGGTTGGTCTTTGCCCTGTATCTTCCCTCTTGAAGTGAAACAGGTACTTTAGTTTTAACTTTGCAGGAGCCCACAGTTCAGAGATTTTTGAATCCTTAAAAGGAAATCTTGGGCTGGGCGTTGGTGTGCACGCCTTGAATCCCAGCACTCGGGAGGCAGAGGCAGGCGGATCTCTCTGAGTTCGAGGCCAGTCTGGTCTACAAGAGCTCGTTCCAGGACAGCCTCCAAAACAATACAGAGAAGCCCTGTCTCCAAAAACAAACAAACAAACAAACAAACAAACAAAGGAATCTTGGAGTTAAAAAAAATGTTTTAATCTGTTGGGAAGTGGTAACACACACCTTTAATCCCAGTATTCAGGAGACAGAGAGAGGCAGATGTCTGATTTGAGGCATGTGTGATCTACAGAGCGAGTCCCAGGACAGCCAGGGCTACACAGAGAAACCCTAACTGAAAAACAAATAAGCCAGGCGTTGTTGGTACACCCCTTTAATCCCAGCACTCGGGGAGGCAGAGGCAGATGGATCTCTGTGAGTTCAAGACCAGCCTGGTCTACAGAGCAAGTTCCAGGACAGTCTCCAAAGCCACAGAGAAACCCTGTCTCGAAAAAAACCAAAAAAAAAAAAAAAGAAGAAGAAGAACAAAAATGCAAATTTCTTTTTCTTTTCTTTCTTTTCTTTTTTTTTTTTTTTTTTTTGAGATTGGGTTTCTCATTGTAAGAGTTCTGGCTGTCCTGGAATTCACTCTGTAGACCAGGCTGGCCTTGCACTCACAGAGATCCACCTGCTTCTGCCTCCCGAGTGCTGGGATTGAAGGTGTACACCTCCACCACTACCACCTCCCAGCATGATCAAACTTTTTAGTGTGTTCAAAACTGTACTTGCAGTCATGCTAAGTACTAATGTAAATAATTATAGAAATAAGTTTTACTTTGCTTCCCTAAATCAAATAACTAATAACAAGTAAAAATTACTTAAAAATCTAGTATACCTTAATAGGTGGCTCTCAACACTTTTCAGAGAGAGATCCGCCTAATATGTCATTAAAATGTTTACTGGAAGAAGCTTCCCGTGACAGACAAACATGCCAGCTCCTGGAGACGAGACACAGATGGGGCACAGACCTGGATTCTGGTGGCACAAACCACTGGGAAATACTGCCCATGCCTTGCCTGCTGTCAGGGCTCTGTGCAAACTGTGAGTATAGGCCACTTTTCCCAAGTTCCTCATCCACAGGGAAATCTCTCAGACATTCTGGGTCTGGTAGCTGAAGGCCCATGCTGTCCTACACGGCAGCCAAAGGTGTGACAGGCAAAGGTTACCTCTGCCCCACTAGGGTTATTGTCCAGGAAGCTGGCAAATCTCCGTCATTTTAATCAACATAGAGGCCATTGGGTCTATATTTCCTGCTATAATTTATCCTTCTCAGAGCTCTGATGGGTGTTGGTGACTAGGCTAAATGTACGTAGCTTTGTCCATTTGGCAGCAGCAGGAAACCAAGGCATCCCCAAGGCTACAGCTACCTTTGTTAGTTCATTTCATAAGTAAAATCAGGTCTTTTTCTATAGCTACTGTGTCTCCTGATGAGAAAGGAAGACATGTTTGCCTTGCTAACAGGCTTCATGTTAAAGGATAAACAGGTTTCAGATGTAATTTTTTTTTATATTCTTTTATTTATTCTATGCAGTGACTGGACTCAGTAATTAACCGCCTGTGTCTCAATGGTAAATGATTAGATTTATTTTTAAAAGGGGTGGTTGTTGTTGTTTTGTTTTTCAAGGCTGGGTCTCTGTGTCACAGAGCCCTAGGTGTCTTGGAACTCACTTTATAGACCAAACTGGCCTTGAATTCACAGGGATCCGCCGGCCTCTGTCTCCCAGGTGCTGGGATTAAAGGCATGAGCCACCATGCCCACTTAAAAAATAAATAAATAAAAAGGTTTTAACCTTATGTAAATTCTGAGGGTCTAAGAAAGTATGCAAATGCAAGTTGTAAAGGTATATAATAACATATGACTTAAGGTAATATAAAAGTTTCAGATTTCTTTCCCTTTCTATGATATTGTTATACTAAGATTCCAAGAAGTTTAGAGTTTTAACAATCAATGGAATTGCCGGGCGTTGGTGGCGCACGCCTTGAATCCCAGCACTTGGGAGGCAGAGGCAGGCGGATCTCTGTGAGTTCGAGGCCAGCCTGGTCTACAAGAGCTAGTTCCAGGACAGCCTCCAAAGCCATAGAGAAACCCTGTCTCGAAAAACCAAAAAAAAAAAAAAAATCAATGGAATTTTGATAAGCTATTAATCTAGCTCTGATAAAACAGTGACCAAATCATAGTCACAAGATCAAGATTTTAAATTTCCTTTGATTGTCATCTAAGAATAGACTTAAAGGTGCTTCTCATGGGGCTAAAATCATCTCTGTCCAACCTATATATCCAACCCTCTGAAGAAAAGAAAAAATTTTCATGCTTTTTAACCCAAAGCCATAGCTTTTGCTATGATTCAAAAGTTCGTTTCTACTCCAGCTGTTTTAAAGACACCTGTTAGCTACTTTTTCTACAATGCGAATTTCAGTACAGATTACAGTGGTAATGTTAATTCAGCTAAAACTTGTATCCCTTTTTGTAAACTAAAATATCACGTAAACTTGAGTTAGACTTGGATCCACCTCTCACAGGTCAAAGGACTCCAGGTAAGCACATAAGTACAGTCCAAGTTTCCCCACCTGCCTATTCCTGAGGGTGAGATCTCTCTCTCTCTCTCTCTCTCTCTCTCTCTCTCTCTCTCTCTCTCTCTCTCTCTCTCTCTCTCTCTCTCTCTCTCTCCCTCTCCAAACAGTTATGACCCCTGGACTTGTTGAGAGCTGGTGTGAAGATTGCTCCCTGTCTCTTCAGCTAGGTCAGTGAACCAGATGGTTCTGGTAAATGCCGCATTACCTGAATCCCCTTTTGGCTTTTGACTGACATTTCAGCCTTCCTGGGCCCTGACAACAATGCTCCAATTTCAGCAGGAAGTAGTTACAGAAGAGAGCATGTCACCCCTTATTCTCAACAAATGACTGAAGGGTAAGTCAAAAGGAAACTCCAAGGCATAGTGCCTATTGGCATACCAGGGAAAGTGCCTGTTAAAGCCAAATGGACCAAGATCCATCCACAGGTAGATTCTTTAGCTAAAGTAGTTTTACAATATGATAGGGAACTCAATATGCTATATATAGAACAAGGAAGTCATTGTATGGCTTTAAGAGAAAATTGTTGTTTCTATACAAACCATTTGTGTATCATTAGAGATAATCTGGCTATATTAAAAAATTGCATTGGGGTGGTGGTAGCACATGCCTTTAATCCCAGCACTTGGGAGGCAAAGGCAGGTAGATCTCCATGAGTTCAAGGCCAGCCTGGTCTACAAAGCTACACAGAGAAATCCTGTCCCAAAAAACAAACAGGCATGCATTCATTTAAGA